CCGCAATCTCGGAAGCAAGGGCAGCGATAGCCTGGGTTTCAGTCTCCCGCAAAACCGAACGGCGTTGGCGCTTCAAGTACACCAGGCGGCCGGTGCGGGCGCCCCGCGGGAGGAACCGGCGTGGAACAATGCTCTCAAATGCCTGAAAAATAACTCGTTCGTTCAAAGATTAGGCTGAGCGTATTTGTTTTCCAACTTTGAGGTTTTCCTCTGGGGAGATTAACAGCTACAGCAACACAAGTAGAGATTCTACCTGCACTCCTCCAGTTGTACCATCAGATTCCAGCACTACTCCGCGGTGCTGTAAAAAAGCAAATAAATCCGTTCAGTTTATTGAAATAAAAAACGAACGGGTGGAAATACAACAGGCCACCTTTTAAATGTACGGGTTTGATGTCCTTAACCGCTAAAACGTACTGATTTAAAAGGCGTCATCGTTTTCCGTTCAACCGTTTGCCACAGGCGTAACATTAGCCGCAGGACCGACGCTGCGCGGCCTATGGATATTGCAACGCGAGGCACCGAGGTTTTATTTGCTGAGATTGGCGAGAACTCATGCTTCAAAACTGTGCCCTACAATGTCCATCGGTTATCAATTCAGACTCAATGTGGAGCATTTTCAGACCAACACGGTTCGGCCATGTGAGTGCAAATTGTTAGCCCATTTCGACGTGCATTAGCGGGGTCCGTAATATCTCTGCACAACCAGATAAAGATTCTGACAGAGCCTCTGAGTTCTGTCGGCTTAGAAAGATTCCACTCAGCCATTGTACAATGACAAAACGCCAGTGATGTATTTAATGAGGTCGTTTAACGCATGATTTCTGGAGTTGACTAGCATGAAAATTTGGAAAGATTGATTTCGCGGTGGCTTCCGGCTTTTGCTCCAGGTATAGAAGGTAGAAATGAAAAGTACCAGAGAAAAATACGCTCTTATTGACAAATGGACCATATTTGGCGATTTTTGGGGAGAGCCTTTTATTTATCGTGCTTGTCTGGATATTTTCACATTAGCCTTCAACAGCAGCCTGAACTGATCAGCGATACAAATTTGGCAATTTGGGCATGTGCGCTCGCAAATCTTAGCTACAACAAAAACCTCGATGATGATCGATGTTTGCAGTCTCCATAGGCCGCACAGCGGTCGGCTCCGCAGTTCTTATTGAACATTGGCCTACGGTTGGACGAAAATGATGATGCATTTGAAAGAAGTAAACTTCGACGCTTTAGTACATCAAACCGTACATTTAAAGATAGCCGGACGTATATTTCACCCGTGCGATTCTTAGATTGATCAATTGATTAATTGAATGGATTGACCTTAACCACACTGCGACGTGGTGCTGGATTTGGAGGTATAATTGGAGGAGTAGAAGTAGGATCTTATTGTGTTGCTGTAGCTGTCAGTCTCCCCAGAGGACAGCCTCAAGGCTTGAAAAAGATACACCAAGCCTAATCCTTGAACGAAACGAGTTATTTTTTTCAGGCATTCTAAAGCATTGTTCCACGACGGCCACTCTCGCGCACAACGCACCAGCCGCCAGGTGTTACTTGAAGTGGCAACGCCGTTCGGTTTTACGGAAACTGAAACCCAGGCTATCGCTGCCCTTACTTCCTAGACTGCGAGTGCGCAGGCTCAAACTGCTTTTTGTGAACAATTTTGTTTGTTACTGGAACTGGATCGGAGAGCCCACCGTTCGGTATTGGGGCCGGCCAGGACCCTTCCACTGCTTTTATGTGAACAATCCTCAAAACCCTCATGTTACAGTCCATTGTCAGAGGGCTCCGACCAAAGCAAGAGGCCCTCTGTCACTCGGGCTCTCGTCCCCGCCCCGTTGGGCAGATATTCCCCTGACCAGCTCGAGGGCCTTTTTTGACACAATGGACGGACTCAGAGGGGGACCACGGGGTCATGCCGCCCCTCTTGGGCCCCGAGGCTCGAACCCGTCCGCTTATATGTCCGCTGTTATCACCCATAGTCGGCTGAACAGACGCAGTTTTTTACCCAACGCGCAACAAAATGGGACGTCTTTGAGCTTCCAGGCGACCGAGAACAGTCGTCAGCGAAAGTGAAGGGCCAACAAGTAGACAGAAATTACTCTTTACGGTTTGAGAGGGTGGTGATTAGGATGTTGTAAGGCTCATCCAGCTCTCCATGTGGCCCTAACACTGTTTCCAGGGGCCCTATATGTCCGCTTTATGGCCAATCCGATTCGTTAAGAAGCCTTCTACGTTGCCCTTGATTTCTTTGCATTTGATATGAGGGCCCTGCGCTGCTGCTGGAGCCTTTCCTGTTTGCGTGCCGGGCACTCTCGTCAATCAGGAGCCCTCCACGGACTCATTCCATTCGCCCGAAATACTAACGCTAGAGATGGGGGCGCTAAATATTAACCTGCCATGGTATTCTCGGTTGCTCAAAGACCCTTCGCGTTGATATCGGTTAACCTATCGACACCACTCACGCTATGATCACAAGTCCTCTCAATCTGTCGCTTGCTTAGGGCCTTAACGCTCCTGTCGGGCGTCTTATCTGATAGCGTTTGGCACACTTGTTCGTTCGGGAGGCCCTCTACATTGGATCTTGGGTGCTTCCTATTTGAATGACGGGCCATGTTTGCACCTTCGCCTGATCCAGTAAAGGGAGAAAACACTCCGCTCATTGTGAGCTAGCAAAAACACAAGTCCAAACCACCAGCAGCTTCTGGCCACAACCTAGCAAGGGCAGGGGTTTGAGCAGGGCGAGCGCAGCACTCAGCCAATTCATTAGTATTTAATCGACACGGGAAGTCAGTACGCCTATGCAGAATACTGATCAGGGTTTGTGGGATCTGTTAGTCCGTTCGCGGCACGCAGGTGGGACTGGTAGGCACGGTAGGTGGGGCATGTAGGTACTGCCAGTGGGGCTGGAACTACTCTCGTAAAAATTAGCCCCCCCCCCCTCCCCACTCCGACGCACCATCGCAAATTCTGGCTGTCCCCGCCCTCCGAGGTTATGCACACCTATTGTCCCGATCAAGTGGTTTGTGCTCCGCGCCGATCAACGCAGGCCTACAAATATTCCAAAACCGCGACAGCTATCTGCATCGTCTCAAATAGCAACCTCACGGTGCAGAGCAGTAGCTGCCTGCTGTCGTGTGACGTAAGCTGCCATGTGGGTTTATAAGTTCCAACAGGACACACAGCACAACTGCGTCGATTTATTTGGAGCGCCGATACAGCTGAATCACCCACAATGATGTCAGAGACGGCCAATTTCGCGTGGGAAGTGCGGGAGGTGCTCAGTACAAAACATGTGACCGTTTCTTCGCAGAACGGAACATTTCTTCAAAAGACTCCGCCCCTTCAAGCACAGTGGAGCTCCAGACGACGCATCAAATGGATCAACATCACGCATCATACAAAATATCTTGTAGGTCCGCCAATAAGGCAAGTGTTAAGGCAACTCCACCAAAGACTTGCACAATGTTAATGCACTACTGACCGCACGAAGTCAGTCAAATACGCATCACAACACATCGTCCCAGAAATGCCTCCATGACTGGACGCGACCAAAACGGCGCTTGGATTCGCACATTCGACCTGATATTACAAGCCGTTTCCACAATCGGCCAAATGGCCGGAAGACGACCCAAATAGTGCTTGGACGGAGTGACCGCGGGAATATCATACTCGACCTACGCCTGGCCCACCAAAGGAGCACTCCGCTCACTCCGGGCTAGCAAAGACACAAGTCCAAAATACCAGCAGCTTCTGGCCACAAGTTAATAAGGTTACGGCGGCTGCGCACAGCGACACGCACAACGAAAGGTCGCATTGCGATTGGCGGCAGCCTGCTGCTGCTGGAAGACATCGGCATGTAGACAGCGAACGCCATGGCGGCAGCACATAACGGACCGGCACACTGTCCATCAGCAAGAGTTGAGCCCCGTGCTGCGACTGATTAACAGCGTCATGTTCTTCCTGAACGACTACCAAACACAGTTCCTCTGCTACAGAGCACCATTGCACGAGCAGCAATTAACTGCGTGCGCACGATGCGACACCAGACGATGCATTTCAGAACTAATGGAAATCACATGTTCGCATGGAATACTCGTATTCTCCCGGTTAACTGTCACTAGCTCCACCAATGCCATCACAGCATAAACACAGGATGGAAGCAAACAGCACCAAGCATCGCTTCGCGGGCTGGAATGAGAAGTGCTTATCACGTGGAGCACAAAAGCCAGGCTTCACCAAAACATAAATTTCTCATTGTATTCTACAAGTCGACCGCTCCGCTCCCAGACGTGCGAAAGCACGGAAGTGGGCAAGAGATGGGGAGCAGCAAGCCAGACGTTTGGGAAAGGCATCACCGGTAGCCTGGCAGTTTTGCATGGACAACCCGCCAAATCACGTGCATCCCACCCTCACCTCACAAGACCCCAGCTTGCAAGTTTCTAGATATCTGGGGACACATGTAACGACTGATTCCAAGAAACACATACTCCATTCACAGTCATGGAAGACTTGATGCCTGGGTTTAATCTTACGGGAAATTTTGATGCTTTAAGTCGCCGAAAACGTACGGGTCATACAAACAAAAAATTGACATGACATGACATGGTGGCATGCATTTCGCAGGACTTGGCTACGCCCTAATGCACCTGGAACACCCGACGAATTGCATGATTAGCTACCTTAGTGCTCACGCCGAAATGGAAGCATCGGTCCACCTTTGGTTATGGCACATTTGCAGCCTGCAGTCTCTACGAAGCACCATATCGACGATAAATACAAGGGGCAAAATACGCCTCCAGCTGTCAGATTTAGGCCATAGATACCGGTCATATTGTGACACCGACTAAACACCGTTTACCACAGCGCTACGTAACACTGCTTTGAATCGCATCAATTACTTCAGTTAGTAAGCCTTTCCAACAATCAAAGCGGCTCACATACCTCCACAGCGAACCTGCAGCGGATCGGTAGTGCACCGAGCGCCCAGCGTCTGACCCGGCTCAGGCCACGTCCGCGAAGCCAGCCGCCACACCGACGCGACCGTCGGCGTGACAACCCCGCCAGACGTGACCTAGGGCGAGCTGGGGCCAGCAGCGGGCGGCGGCCTCTCGGCGGCGCCCGCCGACAGCTCCTCGCAGGCGGCCGCCTCGAGCGGCGAGACGAGCGCGGTGGCGGCGCGCGCGCCCCGGCCGCGTGTGTTGTTGTTCAGCTCGGCGCGGAAGCTGCTGCTGGGCGCGAGACGCGCGAACTCGCGCGGGTCGCGGAAGCTGGCCGAGCGCAGCGGCAGCCGGCCGGCCTCGCCCGGCGGCACCGCCGACTGGCGCAGCGACACCTCGCGCTCGCGCACGCGCAGCTTTGACTCCACCTGGCCCTTGGTGCGCTCGGCCGTGATCAGCTTGCAACGGGCCGCCTTGAGCTCTCGGTCGAGCTTGACACGACCCTCCTCGACCTCTCGCAGGCGCAGCTGCGCCTCTTCCAGCTGGCGCTGCTTGCTTTTCTGCAGCACCTCGAACGCCTCGCGCTTCTGGCGCTCCTCGTCCAGCAGCGCCGTCAGCTCAGCCTGCAGCCGCTCCAGGTCCTCGCGCTTCTCCCACTCCTGGCGGAGCACGCGACTCTGCGCGCTGCGCACCAGCTCCTCGTCGCGCTTGGCCTGCTTCTCCTCCTGCAGCAGCCGCTCCAACTCCAGGCGAGTTTCCTCCAGTTCGGCCAGCTTGCGCTCCTCCTCGGCCTTCTGCAGCTCCAGCTCGGCCGCCTGCGCCTCAGCGGCGGCGCGCGCCAGCCGCTCGGCCTCCAGCTCGGCCTTGGTGCTGTCCATGATGTTGATCTGGCTGAGGCGGCGCCGGTCGTCCTCGTGTTGGCGCGCCTCCGTCTGGTGCCACTCGGCGCGACGCGCCGCCGCCAGGTGCCGCTGGCAACCCTGAGGCGAGCCCGAGAACGAGACGGCCGTCTCCAGCGCCGACAGCCACTGGAACTTGGTCTTGTAGTCGGGCGCGGCCAGCTCCAGCGCAGCACCGTCAGCCGACACGGAGAACCGGTTGGGCCGCACGCCGCTCTGCTCGATCAGGTTGACCACCTGGGTCTGCGGACTGAGCGGCAGCCGCAGCTGCGGCCGCGCGTCGTCGCGCCGTCGGTAGCAGCGCAGGTCGCGCGGCGTCAGCACGCACCAAAGCGGCCGGAAGCCGCGTACGCAGTCGGCGCGCCGCTGCAGCGGGCCCTTCTTCACCACGTCCTCGACGACCACGTCGTAAACGTCGTCGATGGCCTCGCGCAACGCCTCCGTCTCCATGTCCTGCGTGTAACGTGTCTCCAGGAAGGCGAGGAAGATGGTGAACTTAAAGTGGTGGATGATCTCGGCCAGCTGCTGGAAATCGGCCGAGTCCCAAACGCGACCCAGCGCCTGCACAAACTTGCTGGCCACGAAGTCGACCTCCCCGGCGTTCATGACCACCTGCACGGCCAGGTCGGGGTCGGACATGAGCTCACCAAGACAGCAAAAGACGCGGAACAGCTGGCGCACGCATTCCTCGGGCAGCGTGGGCATGTCGCGCTTCATGGCCGTCGGGCGGTACAACACCCAGCACGTGTCCTCGACGGCCTCGTGGTAGACGCGCAGCTGGTCCGGCGTCAGGTCGGCCGGCAGCCGCGAGAACACCTCGTGTGTCAAGTAGTACTTGTAGTGCTCGAACGTCAGCGTCGGCGTGCTGCGAAACTCGCTGATGCCTGCCTCCACCTTCTGGTCGGCGAGGTCCAGCAGCGTGCCCAGGTTCTGTGTCAGCACCTTCAGCCTTGACTTGGTCACGTTTCCATGCTGATCACTGTCCAGACTGGTGAAAGCATGCCAGATGCTGTTTTCGAGCATTGGCAGTAAATCCATGACGTGGCTGGGTGGAGTGCTCTTGTGGTCAGTGTAGTAATGAAATATCAGCAAGAATATTGCATGCTTTCCTTCATGATATGCATCATTCTGAGCATGGACTTCTGGCATGAAAACCAGGAAAAGCTTTCACTCCTTGATGCAGACTTTCAAGGACACACTATCACATAGCAAAATGCTTGTTGCCAATCTACATTGTTATCAATCACATCTCCCCACTGAGTGGAATGTGTTCATTACTGCTATATAACAGGCTGTTCAAGTCAAACACCTTCCAGCTATCCCACACATTCATTTGCAATATCTTGATAGCAAATTACCACCCAGTAGATTGGGTTTTGAGTCCTCATCACACTGTGTCACCCAACACTACAGGCTGACTGTACTAAGAATGACCTTTTTCTTGGGCAATTTTTGGCCTGAAAGATCAGAGTCATGTCACACATGCAGCTTTGCATCTGCACCTGTGAGAAAACACCAAACACATATGTCATATGTACTTGACAGGTCCAGGATGTGGGGCAGGCTAAGAACATCTGTTGACAAACTGTGCCAATGGGTTTCAAAACCAGGATTGGTAAGGACCTATCCTTAAGTTATTTGGGTACCTGGGCATGGGTATTTGCCTATAGCACATCCCCTAGCATGCACTAAATGCTGTGATGTATCTTCTAAGATTCAGACACAGTGGATAGTTGGCAGTCCACTGCAAAATGGTTGACATTGAAACTTGGATGGTTGCCAAACTGCCCTGGAACTTCTATATACCACAGCACAAGGCAATGCAACATGAAAGACATTATGCCAACTTAATATCACTTAGTTAAAGGCATATATTGCTGTTAATATTTTATGCTCTATACCATTCTCCTTTACAATCATCATAATTGACCTGCACAAATTATTCTGGAAAGTTTGGCTTGAGCACTCAGAGTCCAATGTTACGTTCACAATCCAATGAGAGGAAAGCGGAACTTGCCAGTTTCGACAAGAACTATAAAGCTGTCGCTCAATGCATGGTAATCAAGCTAAACCCCTGGCTTCGAAGTCAAATCTAAAGCCAAAGTTCAAGGTGGAGCCAAAGCTGAGGAATTTAAACCTGCAGCTGGGAATCTGAAGCTAGAGCTGGCATCTGCATATCTTTAAAATGTGAAGTTGAATCTGAAAAAGTGGCTTCAACCATAGCATAGCAGGAGTAAAAAATCAACAGCTTAGAAAGTAGGAAATATAAGGTCATACCCAAGCTTTCAGTTTGAAATCATTGGGTCAAAGTCTGAGGTGAATCAAATGTTCAATGTTGTTCTGCAAGTCGCAAACCCATTTTTTATGGAGGCCAAAACTGCATCAGATAAGAAAACATCATAGTTTTGCAGTTGATTGAGCCAAAAAGAATAATAGAGAGGACCTCAAAACCAACCTAAAATGGAGAGCACCATAACCAAATATGGCAATGGAAGCATGAAAGATGGCATCTCACATAAATAAACTAGAACACACCAGAAAAGGCAAACCACAAACACATGCTGATAAATTATCCTCAATGTACAAATCAACCTTGGGGCTCAAATGGGTACCAGAAGTGAGACCCCACCAGCACAGACCAGAGGGCAGGCCTGCAAAGCTGCAACCTGCCCGGACGTCATTGATATAGGGCATACCGAAAAAGTATCCTGGAGTTACAGATGTTTTTTAACAAGACTGCACCCCGCGGACGGGCAATGCCCCTCACGAGCAAACTCGCCTAAAGCTTTGATTAGCGTAATCGAATCATTAGCATGCATTAGAACCCATGAAAGGAAATGTTTTCTCTCCTTGATCAAATAAATTTCCCCACTGCCAGGTACTTCCCTAAATAGTCGTTGTTTGCAATACAACGCAAAAAAGCTCCATTGCTGCATAAAACAGGTCCAAAATAAAAAATATCCCTTATTAGAACTGTGTTTCTGTCAGGACCCAGGAAAAAACGCAACGAAAATCTCCAAAAAAAATATGGTGAAAGAGGAAGAAAAAAATATAAGAAAAATTGGGATATGGTAGTGTTTGGTATCTCAACTTTACGACAGACACAGCGCAGCATTTTTGTTTTGTTTACGTGCTAGCCCGCGGTTCTCATGCTGCCCGAAATCCAACTTCCGTAGAGTAGGGCTGGTCTCAGGGGTAGGTGTATTATGTCTTATGTGCGCATACGTGAGAGGTGGAGAGACTAAGCCAAGGATTTTTGCACCTTTTGTTCCATATTATCGTCGTGACCTTCTGTTGCAAGGCTAGATGAGGTAGTTCACGAAGGTCAGCCATGCTGAGTTAACCTATGTTTATTGCAATGGTGGGTTTAGGAAATGTAGCCAGCGGTCACCAGTAGCTGGGCCTCCTTGTTGCCAGACTGTGAAACATACGCTACACTGAAAAGTTAAGGTTTTTTATATTGGTGATCAGAGTGATTTTGCTTTACCATGTTGTCTGCACAATTTCAGCTGTTAGGGAGCCAATGGTCATGTTTCAGGGAATTGCGATGTTGTGGAGCCAATTCCAGGCATGCCCCCAAAACCCTGAAAACATTTTCATGGAAAAGTTATCTAGCTTTCACGTCTCTATGCCAATGGATGTTGCTGCTTAAACAAATTTATCAGCCACCCATGCAAAACCCATAGTTTGCCTAATGTAACACATCCTGTCCTTATATAACCCTAGCTAACAACAGGTTCAACTAACCTGTGTGACAGTCAGTGTGCAAGACCCGCCCACTGTATGTGATAAATGGTGTCATTGTGATACAACTATAGCATGTATGCTTTTAATGAGTGTAACACATAAGTAACCAAAAACTGCCATCAATACTTTTATTTATGTCATCATCAGCACATGTCTTAAGTGAATGTTGTATATTTCTATGGGGTTTTGAATAGAAATAGCCATATTGTCATTCCACAAGCCATGCTGAGAAAAATATTATCATCTAGGTATTCATATCTTACATTCATGAACACAATTTTCAGATGTTACAATATAACTAAGAGCTGTCAGCTGGCTTTCAATCAGTGATGTGCAAGGCACATAGAAAACATTCACAATAATGGCATCATTTAAATCCTGTCATTCCATACACAATGCTGAAAAATATTGTAGAGTTCTTCATATCTTGCATTGATCATGATTTTCAGATGTAACAGCATAACAGCTGCCAGTTGGCTCCTGAATGACAGGACAAGTACAATGACATAATTAAGCAATGATGTATCGAGAGGCATATTTCCTAAACAGACAAATTGTGTTGTCAAAAGCAATCTTTTCTTTTCAAAAGTATACAACCTTTCAGAAGTGAGCTTGCTTCATTATATCTGATATTTGCTTTATTATTTTCAAAGATGAAAGATTCCCTTCAATTGTGGCCTAATTAGTTTTGCCTACAGCCCTTATTGTGTTGTGTTTGCATGCAATTATCATTATTTTCTAATTCTGTCAGGCAGTAGCTCTTCATCTACTGAAGTTTGTGGTGTGGTTGGCCAAACTCAGAGCACTCAAATGTGCAAGGGGATACATTGTTGATTTTTTGTATGCAACTCTGTCGATGCAATAGACATGCTCAGCATGTTCAGTATTTTGTCCATCCTGGTCTATCAGGGGCCACAGACAAATTATCTACTAAGCTGTAGCATCATCTGCTGCTTGGTGGGCTTCAGTGAAAGGCAGCAGGCACATTGTAGCATGTAATCCAATTCCATTGCCAATTGCTGCTCATGCAGCTCTTTCTTAATGAATTTTGATTGTATGTGAACCTTGAACTCTACATCCTGTTAACAGTTATCTTGGGAACCATGGCGTCCTTTGCACACTTCTCCCATGTTGAGCATTCAGGATACATATCACACATGTTTATGAAGTTGCTGTCTAGGAAGTGCCTCATTACTAAACTTGATCTTCACAGAACACCCCACTTACTTGTTAAGGAACAAAAGTTATGGCATGCAGTGTTGTGTCAGTGCAGTGTGTGATGTGATGGCTGTCAGGACCCCTTCCTCCATGCCTGTCACATGGTTAATGGATAACCATTACACTTAATGCTTTCAACCCAGTTGTAAATGCTAAACTGTCTATGCATATTGTAAAACTTGAAGATTTTTCATGTCCCGTACTGCCACCTGGGGTGCATATTGTAAAAAAACTTGAAATTTTTCATGTCCCTTACTGCCACCTGGGGAGCTGCTATTATTTGCTGCACATGGTTCCCACAATCTTAATGTTATGGGTCAGAAGTATGGTCAGGAAGAGGCAAGCTGTAAGACTCAGCTGATAAACTGTGCCCAGAAAGCCTGAGGAGCTCTCCATCCATCAACACAGGAAGAGTGCCAAGGCTGGGATGCTGATTACTCAGAACAGTCAGTGACTGGTGCCCTGTTTCTTAGGCCACATACCTTTCCATGGTGAATTGATCTGGTGTTTGTGCATCATGTTCATGCTGCACAGCTGTTGATTGTCAACATGTGCCCCCTCAGTAGTGTGGAGCCAACTTCATGGGATGCAGCCATGACAGCTGACAGGGGGCCACAGTCTTCTGCTCAGTCAATCACATGGAGCGTGGAAAACGAAATTCACCTGTTTGATGCAATGACTGGCTACAAACCTGTTGGTAATTATCTATAGCTAGTTCTTAGATAATTGTTTTGGTGTTTGATGGTACATACTGTCTTGAGTGCTTTTTCTGCATTCTATCATATTCTGATCCTGTCAAAAGAGGCAGTGTATGTCAATAATTAGTTCACTTTGCAACCTTGTAGCTATTTTGCCTTAGGATACATTATTTGCAGTGGAGTTGAGAGACCTGCGGTATGTGGCTCATGTATTCTGTGAACATTTTTTACATGTGTGCATTATTAATACATGAATGCATTTTTCTCCACTTGTTCATTACACCTATTACAAAATTAGTTTTTACTTCTTGTTACCACTGTACATTTACACAAGAATGCCAGCGTGATGCGGTACCCATT